ATTAAATTGCACACAGAAAGGTGTGGCAGGCTGAGACTGGGTAAAAGTTTAGGCCTCAAGCTTTTCTTTCCCAGCAGCACATTCTTGACATGTCATGTACTCTGCACCTGAAAATGTTGTTTGTTCTGCATCGAAGATTTCATTTCTGTTCTCCCGAGCGAGACAAGCCTTGACTTGGGAGTAATTACCAATCTCTTCTGTCTGAACTGTTCCACTGTATCATCCTGGCTCAGTCGGTAGTGCTCTCACCTCTAAGTCAGAAGGTTTAGGGTTCAAACCTCCACATGGAGCTGGTTGACGCCAGTGCAGTGCTGGGGGCGCTGCATTTTCAGAGCTGCTGTCCTTTGGATGAGTTGGATGCTAAGTTTTGAACGAATTGGATTTTATGAGTAGTGTAGCCGGGGAGACCGGCTAGGAGGGCATCTGAAAATCGAGCCGGGAGATGTTTAAAGCTTGAATGAGGGTTTCAGCTGTGTGGGATGTGAGCTACGGTCAGAGGTGGGCGATGTGGTGGAGGTGGAGGAATGGAGTCCTGGCCAGGGATCGGATGTGGGATATGAAGGACGGCTCGGTTGTGCACAGGTTCAGTGAGTTTAGAGCGATGAAACGAGAGAGAGACAAGCACACGTTTAGACATTTAAAGCAAGAGAGAGAGAAGAGAGAGAAACAAACACACAGATGTAGAGAGAACAACCCCCTACCTCCCTCCTCTCCCCCTCCAAACCCCGTAGTGACGAGGCTAAATGAACACGTGCCTTCGGTCTCTGTACACTTTAATATTGACATTAAATAGGCAATTGCAAACATCTTTGATAAAAACAAGCATGACTACAAAAATACAAGTGTATGTACAAAACAGGACATAGACTTTCCTTGTAAACAATGTCTCAATGATAATACTGGCTGCCCGCTTAGTTAGGGCTTGCTGCTTTTAGATATCGGGGGTTAAATTGCGACGCATAATGTGAATGTGCTCATTAGCCCATTGTGGAGTTTGATGGGGTTGAGGGGGGCCAATCACCCAAGGCAGGTGTGACTCTCCTCACTCCCTCCCACCTCCCCCCACGGCTCTATCACAAGGGTTTGACCCAAACTCCGCCGTTGGACTTTCCCGGCCGGGAAACGGGACAGCATCTCAGCCAACCTTCTGAACCTTTTATCTTGAGCTTTGGAGAATCTGGCAATTGGGAAACGTAACACCCAGATGAGGCCCCAACAGTTTGACTGAGTCCGTGGAGTGGGTGGGGGGAAAGGGGATGGAAGAGTGAAAGCCAAGGGAGCAGTCTTTTCACATTGGCTGCCCTCTACCCACACAATCCCTGCTCCCCCTCCATTTTACCCCCTAACTCTGCCCCCCCCCACCCACACGATATTAAGCGGCAAAACACATATTACGATAAAAGAATAAATGTGGCTTTTATTATTCCCGCGAGGACTTTTATTGTTGGTCAGCCGGGTGTCTGACACATATGGAAACCCATCACCATGCTTAAGAGTATCCAAATCTTACCTAATTCTGGAGAGTATTAGGTGCAGGTTGGCGAGAGCCTAGGCTTGGGGACCACAGAGTGCGCGTTGGGGTAACTGCTGGAATCTAACCAGCTAAACCCACATAGCTTGTCATTGATGTCGCTGTCTGGCAAGCTTTCCCGATGCTTGTCCAGCTAGGATCACGCTACTCTTCAAGGCTGCCTATCCCCCAACCCCTTTGCTCCACTATCGGTGGCCATGCCTTCAGCCGTTATGCCCCAAACCTCTGGAACACAATGCCTCAATCCCTCCATCTTGTGAAACGCTTAGAGATGGCTCAACAACTTAAAAAGCTGCTATATCAAATCTAACGATTAATATTATTGTTATGTATCTCTATAATACTGGGGCTTATCCTCCTTGGGCTGTGGGAGAGGAGTTGAGGTAAGCGGGGTCTCCTGAAAGCTCAGCTGGCGGGGAGCGAAGATTCTTCCCATTCTATGAGTTTACAAAGAATGTACAGCACGGAAACAGATCACTCACCAACCAGTCCGTGCCGGTGTTTATACTCCACACGAGTTCTCACCCATTCATTACTCCCTCCCACACCCTTCTATTCCTCTTTCCCTCATATATAGTAATAAATAATAATCCTTGCATTAGATACAGCCCCTTATTACGACAAGCCTCAAAGTGTTTCACAGGATACACTGTAAAGTGAATTGACTATATATTTCGTGGACGAAACGTGGCAGCCAATTGCGCACAGCAGTGTCCCACAAACAGTCGTGGATTGAGTGACCAAATCATTATTTTTTTTAATTTTGAAGGGATTATTATCCTTCGGAAGCAATCCACCAATCGACTAACAACCGGGTTCTTCCTTATTGATAGATAAACAGAGGCGTGTGGAGTAGGAAAACTTGCCTAAGGTTTCGCCCTGCCCGGGAATCTAACCCAGATCCTCTTGAATGCAAGGCGAGTGGTCTAACCACCAAGCTACAGGACTCTTATTACATCAGACGAACATCTAAAAATGCTTCACAGAATTTACTGCAATGCGAAGTGACTGTATACATTGTAGGTGAAAGGCAGCAGCAAATTTTTGTTCACTGCAATGTCCCACAAATAGCCATGAAATGGATGACCAAATATATCTTGGGGACTGTTGACCAAGAACCAGGGAGAAAGTCCTTCTCTTTTCAAATAGTGCCATGGCATCTTTAGTGTCTAACTGAACAGCCAGACGAGACCTCATGTGAAGGTCAAGCTTCCCCTTGAATACATCTACACTATCCAATTCAACCACCGCTTCAGGCAGCGAGTTCCACAATCTCACTGCCCTCTGTGTGAAGTAATTCCTCCTTAATTCTCTTTTGGAGCCCCCTTGTCACTAGCTTATACTTGTGTCTCCTGTTTACAGACTCCCCAACAAGTGGAAGCAGCCTATTTATGGTAACCTTATCGAACTCTTATTTTAAACACAGCCCTGCAAGAAAAAAAACATTTCTTTCCCTAAATTGTTTTATTTCTTTTTTTAACTTCTGGTAATCCCTCACTATTTGTCTCCTTGCTTCCAAGATTTAGTTGTCTAAGACCTACCGGGTTGTACTGTTGTGTTTGGCTTCTTCAGTTATTATTAAGTGGAGCCCAGCTTACAATAGACACTGGGACTCATGCATTCCTTGACCTACTTAGTGTGTCAGCCTGGCTCAGTTGGTCGCACGCTCACCTCTGGGTCAGGAGGTTGTGGGTTCAAGCCTGTTAACTCTATAAGCCGGAACTCTAACGGGGAGGGTGGTGCTAGCTGGACAAGCAGCAAGAAAGCGTGTCAGACAGCGATATCAATGACAAGCTTGGGGTTAGCATGCTTTGGCTTTTGCAGGTTGTGTTCCTCCAGGAAGAGAATGCTCATTCCATTCCAGACACAGGGAAATCCTTGAATGCATAGCAGACATATATATGTAGATCTCTCAGTCTGGTTTGAGAACTTGGCTGGGAACCTGAGCTGGAGGTGGGGGGAGCTGAGGGAGTTGAGGGGGATGGGGGTGAAGGTAACTGAAAGAGGGGTCGAAATGTTAAGTCTTAAGGGTTTAAAAGTGGGTAGGGAGGGGGCGAGGAGGATGAAGTCCCAGAGAGTGAGGGTGGAATGGCTGAAAGCTTGCCCACAAAGAGGAGGGGTGGGGAGTCAGGCAGCGCACATGAAGCAGGTGGAGGAAGAGAGATTGGGGCAGTAGGGTGGTCAAGTTAACCCCCTAAGTGTGGTATGGAGTCCTGTAACAAAATGGTTAATTGTTCGCCTTGCGAGCCAGAGGACCCGAATTCGATTCCCACACACGGCAAAACCTTTAGCAAGTTTTCTTACTTCACACGCCTCTGTTTACCTAACAGTAAGTAAGAACCTGATTGTTAGTTGATGTCGGATCGCTTTCTGGGGTAATAATCATTCAATCCGCGACTGTTTGGGGGACGCTGCTGTGTGCAATCAGCGGCCAGTTTTGCCCCCAAAATGCAAGATCAATACACTTTACAGTATATCCTGTGAAGCGCTTTGTGACATCTCAATGACGTGATAAGGCACTATATCAAATACAAGGATTATTATTATTATGTAAGAAAACCAACCTCTAGTAGGCTTGTACTTACCCTTCAGGACAGAGGTCACTGTGAGACTTTGAGATGGGTCACAGGGAGGTGCAGGGATGGGAGGGTGGGACGTGAAAACTTGACAGCCACAAATGGTCCTATCCTGATATCCACACACACTTTCTAGTTCCTTTTACGTCAGGACAAGCCTACTTGTCCCAAGGCGCTGGACAATCAGGGAATTGGAACCAAGCTGGGGGTTGGGTTCAGGAGGGGTCGAGGGAGAGTAAACGAAGGCGCGGTTGAAGAGGAATGTCTTGAGACAGGCCTTGAAGGAGGCAAGGAAAAGAGTGAGATGAATATGGGATGGAGTTCCAAAGGGTGGGGGCAGAGAGGGTGAAGGCCCAACCATCATTCTGTTGGTATCAACCCAATTTGGAGACCAGGAGAGGACAGCTGCAATGAGCCTAGCTAGTTACATGGGAACATAGCCTGTCAGGGTTTACATTAGGCTCTGGCACTAAGAGGAACAACGTCAATTAGAAGGCATTTTGGAGCAGAGCTTCCACAGCCCTCGTCTGTCCAACTGTATGATGTAGATCCAGGTGTGTGACTCTCCAGGTGTGTGGCAATTCCGGATGTGTGATGTCTCTAGCTGTGTGTCTTTCCAGATATGCGACACTCCAGCTGTGCGATGTCTTCCGATGTCTGATGGTTGGTTTCTCTCTGCAATGGACACCCTCTGGGGAAGATCCAGCCTTTAGCAAAAATAGCAACTCTTGCTCCTGGAGTTTAACATGTGTGCCACTCTCGGGGGTGGGTGTGGGGTTTTGGTGGGGGGAGGTGGAATGTTGCAGAAGGGCTGCGGAACATGGGAAGCGAGGGGAAGTGGGAGGTGGATCCTTGAGTTCTCACGAGCTGTGTCCATTTCCCCACCTTCGCGCTTACGACCTCACCAGAGAGACCCTCTGACCACGTTTCTCTGGCATCGCCCGGACCACCTTGACCATTGTTGGGGTCAGTGCTCTCCCCGGCCTCGCGTCCCTCACGGGCCTGCGAAACATTAACAAACACAACGGCACCAATAGATTGGCGAAACAGACTCCAGGGGCTGAATGGCCCACTCCTTTTCCTATGTTCCTGTTTTGAAGCCCTGTCGCTTAAAGGTCAGTGCGCTCGTTTCACAAGGGGTTCGATTCCTGGGCAGAGCGAAAGCTTATCCAAGTTTCCTTGCTCCACGCTCCTCGTTTTATTTAGCGGTAAGTAGGAACCCGATTTATAGTCAATTGGTGGATCGCTTTCTGGGGTTAAAAATCCCTTTTAAATAAAAAATGTGGTCACTCAATCCATGACTGTTTGTGGGACGCTGTGTGTGCAGTTGGCTACTGTGTTTCCTCCACAAAATCCACAGTGAATTCACCTTACATTATATCCTGTGAAGCGCTTTGAGACGTCTCAATGACACGATAAGGCGCTGTCTCAAATGCAAGGACTATCATCACTATTATCTGCACTGAGATGGTATCTTGGGACGTACCGTTGCCCTCTGACCGTTGTCAGGCAGAATCGGTGACACTTCGGGTCACGCAGCTTGGCACAGAGACAGCGACTCAACTCCCTCTTCCGTCTTCCCACAGGCGTTCCCAGGCCATAAGGAACCACCTGTCTGTGCGAGAGAGAGAGAGAGAGAGAGCGACAGACACAATCAGTTCACGCAGCCTCACTAGGGTCTCCGCAAAACACACGCTCACAGTAAGAAGATTGTGGGGTCAGAGCCCCATGTCGGGACTTTGAGTTCATTGTCTAGACCTCAACTAGACTGTGACGCTCCAGTGCAGTGCTGGGGGAACTCTGGATTGTTAGCGGTGCTTTCCTTTGGTTGAGGCGTTAAACTGAGGTCCCGTCTGCCTGGTCAGGTGGATGTTAAAGATCCCATGGCACTATTGGAAAAGAAAAGGGAGTTTCTCTCTCCAGATGTCCTGGCCAACAATCCTCCAAATATCCTGTGAAGCGCTTTGAGACTTCTAGAAGATGTGAAAAGGGCTATGTCAAATGCAAGGTTCATCATTATTATTAAATAAAATTGGGCGTTCGCTCCATAGCTGTTTGTGGGACATTGCTGTGTGCAATTGGCTGACACGTTTCGTCCACAAAAATACACAGTCATTCCCGTTTACAGCTAATCCTGTGAAGCACTTTGAGACGTCTCGACAACGTGAAAGGCTCTATATCAAACGCAAGGAATATTATTATTATTTGGAGTAAATCCTGCAAAGCGCTTTGAAATATTATGTTATTGAAATAATAATAATCCTTGTAACTGATACGGGTATTTATATAGCGCCCTTCATGTGGGGTAGGGTCCCAGAGCCCTGGAAAAACAGCACCAACTGTAAAATTTGCCACTACTTGTCCAGCTAGGGCTGCCTTACCCGTCAGGGCTTTGGCTTGCAGGGTTAACAGGAGATGAGTAGGAAGAGTTCTATCTGCATCTCCAAGTCTTTTCTGCTTAGAACTTGCCACCACAAGGAGTAGTTGAGGCGAATGGCATAGACGCATTTAAGGGGAAGTCAGATAAGTACATGAGGGAGACAGGAATAGAAGGTTCTGCTTGAAGGCTTAGTTGAGGAAGGGCTGGAGGAGGCTCATATAGAGCATAAACACCGGCATAGACCAGTTGGGCCGAGTGGCCGGTTTCTGTGCTGTATATTCTATGTAACTCTATGTAAAAGGATTGTGGATAAAGGGATGTGAATAAGGAAGCGTGTGATTAAGGGGGAATGCCATGACCAATCGCCCAGCTCCACCATGTCTCTCCCCTCAGGCCACCAAAACCCTCATCCACGCATTTATTACATCTTGGCTCGACTCCCTCCTTGTCGGCCTCCCCAGCTCTTTCCTCCACAAGCTGCAGAACTCTGCAGCTCGAGTCCAGTCCCGGACCAGGCTCCGTGACCCCATCACCTCCACCCTCGCCCGGCTCTACTGTCTCCCATTCCTCAGAGGATAGATTTCAAAATCCTCGTCCTCGCCTTCAAAGCCATCACAGCGTCACTCCTTCCTCCCTCTGTGACCTGCTAACCCCATATCAACCTGTCCGCTTCCTCCGCTCAGCAGGCTCTGATCTGTTCCATGTCCCCCGCCCAGCCCACCCCACCGTCAGCGATTGGGCCTTCAGCCTCTCTGCCCCCACCCTTTCGAATTCCATCCCAGTCCCTTCGCCTCACTCCCTCCCTTGCCTCCTTCAACAACAACAACAACAACAACAAGATTCCATTTATAAAGCGCCTTTCACGTCAGGAGGACGTCCCAAGGCGCTGCACAGTTGGGTCATGACCCGAGCAGGGGGGAAATGGTCAGGGTGAGGGGAGGGAAGGGAGGGAGCGAGGAGGGGGGAAATGGTCAGGGTGAGGGAAGGGAGGGAGCAAGGAGGGGGAAATGGTCAGGGTGAGGGGAGGGAAGGGAGGGAGCGAGGAGGAGGAAGAGAGTCGAGAGGGGAGCTGAAGGCTCGGTCAAAGAGAAAGGTTTTGAGACCGGCCTTGAAGGAGGAAAGGGAGGAAGCAAGGCGAAGGCACTGGGGGATGGAGTTCCAGAGCCTGGGGGCTGAGAGGCTGAAGGCCCGACCACCGATGGTAGGGCGGTTGGGGCGGGGGACGTGGAGCAGACCGGAGCCAGAGGAACGGAGGGTACGGGCAGGTAGGTAGGGGGATAGTAGGTTGGAGAGGTAGGAGGGAGCAAGGCCGTGAATGGCCTTGTAGGTGAGGATGAGGATCTTGAAATCAAGGCTTGTCTCAAGACCCTCCTCTTCAACTGCAGTTTCGGTCAGCCTTCAACCGCCACCCTCCCTGGCCTCCTCCCCTCCTGATCCCAAACCCCAGCTCGGCTCCAAATCCCTGACTGTCCAGCGCCTTGGGACATCCTCTTGATGTGAAAGGCGTCACACAAGTACAATTTGTTGTTGTTGTTGTGGACGTGGGAGTGTGTGGGCAGGTATGGATGTGGGGAGGTTCGATTGGGGTTGATACAGAGAGTATCCTACTGCTCTCTGAATATGACCTAATTAATGCCTTGCCCAAATTGAATAGGGTTCTGATCTAATAATAATAATAATAATAATGTTTCAATGATGTGATAAGGTGCTGTATCAAATGCAAGGATTACTATTATTATTATATGTGGAGTCTTGCGGCGTATTAGTGAGAGCACTTGCCTCAGAAGCGAGAGGATCTAGGTTTGATTCCCGGGCAGGGCGAAACATTCGGCAATTTTCCTTGCTCCACGCACACCTCTGTTTACTTAGCAGTCCGTAGGAACCCGGTTGTTAGTCGCTTTCCAAGGGTGTCATAAACCCTTCAAAAAATTACAATAATAATCATTTGCTCACTCAAAACACTACTGTTTGTGGGACTCTGCGATGCAAAATTGGCTGCCACATTTCGCCCACAAAATGTACAGTCAATTCGCTTTACAATATATTCTGTGAAGCGCTTTGAGACGTCTCGAAGGCGTGCTCAGGCCCTATATCAAATGCAAGGATTATTATTATCATTAAATTGTTAAAATGACTATTAAAGTATTCATTCAAATTATTATTATTATTATTACAAATCTTAAAAACACCTGAAAATTAACCGTTAAAAAAGAATTGACAAACCAAGCAAAATCCCACACGACAGACGAGGAGTGCCTTTAAATAATGTTCTGGATTCGCTTATTCAGCTGATACATGGTTTCATGTTTTTCTTCTCTCTCTAATCCCAATGCTTTTCATTCCTAAACCTTTTATTAGCCTTTTTTTCCAAACAAACCCACACATTTTTTCCCTAAATTGTTTTATTTCCCTTTTTTAGCTTCTGGGTAATCCCTCACTATTTGTCTCCTTGGTTCCAAGATTTAGTTGTCTATGACCTACCGGGTTGTACTGTTGTGTTTGGCTTCTTCAGTTATTATTAAGTGGAGCCCAGCTTACAATAGACACTGGGACTCATGCATTCCTTGACCTACTGAGTGTGTCAGCCTGGCTCAGTTGGTCGCACGCTCACCTCTGGGTCAGGAGGTTGTGGGTTCAAGCCTGTTAACTCTATAAGCCGGAACGGTAACGGGGAGGGTGGACAAGCAGCAAGAAAGCGTGTCAGACAGCGATAATTGAAGCACTTTGAGACGTCTTGAAGACACTATAAGCTGATAAATGCAAGATTTATTATTATCAATGGCAAACGATGCGGTTTTAGCTGGTTAGACTCCAGCGCTCACTCCAACACGCTCTCTGTGTTCCAAAACCTTGGCTCTTGCCAACCTGCACTTAATATTCTTTGGAATAAGTAAGCAGGATGCTTTCCTCCAGGAAGAGAGTGGGCTTTCTATTCCAGACACAGGAATTTGATGGTGAATAAATTGGTGGGAATTCTCAGTTTGGTTTTTAATATTCCTACATATAGCAATGGGTTTCCACGTGTGTCAGATACCTGACAGACCCAAAGTAAGACCTGACATTAGTTCAAAGTGATACCGGGGCTGAGGGACTTCAGTTATGTGGAGAGACTAGAGAAGCTGGGATCGTTCACCTTAGAGCAGAGAAGGTTAAGAGGAGATTTAATAGAAGTGTTCAAAATTATGAGGGCATTTTGATAGAAAAAATAAGGAGGAACTGTTTCCTCTGGCGGGTGGGGTCGGTAATCAGAGGACACAGCTTGAAGATAATTGGCAAAAGAACCAGATGTAAGATGAAGAGAATTTTTTTATGCAACGAGTTGTTACAATCTGGAATGCACTGCCTGAAAGTGCGACGCATTGCCTGAAGCAGATTCATTAACTTTCAAAAGGGAATTGGATATGTACAGTACTTGAAAAGCAAAAAAATGCAAGGCTACAGGGAAGGAGCGGAGCAGTGGGACTAATTGGATGATAATAATCATCCTTGTATTCGTTATAGCCCCTTATCACGTCGTAGAGATATCTCAAAGCGCTTCACAGAATATATTAACTGACTGAGTGGGGCTGACACACACTGAGCTGACACTGATTCCCTGTCCCCCAGGGGATGACCTTCAAATTCCACCTTGATACCTACTCGGTACTAGTACTCAGTACTCAGTACTACTCAGCAGGTATAATCCTTTTCCATCGATGCACTCAAAACCTTTCAGACGGTTTAACAACCTTCATCAGTCCTGCTGGTAACTCTCTCCGTTCAAAGTGAAAACAGACCCAACATTTTCCTGCAAGTCTCAGTAACATAGTCCCTCATCTCTGTGTCACATCCGTGCCAGTTGATTCTGTGGAGTCCTCTAGCGGATTGGTTAGAGCACTCGTCTCGCAAGCGGGAGGACCTGGGTTTGATTGCTGTGCGCAATTGGCTGCCGTGTTTTGCCCACAAAATATACAGTCAATTCACTTTACAGTGTATTCTGTGAAGCGCTTTGAGGCTTTTCGACGTGATAAGGTGCTATATCAAATGTAAGGATGATTATTATTATTATTATTATTATTATTATTACAACTGTTTGGAAGGTGGGAGACAAAGTTGTCTTTGGGACGTCCTCCCGATGTGAAAGGCACTCTATAAATGCAATTTTGTTGTTGTTGTTGTTGTTGTCCAGAAGTGTGTGGGGAAAGAGAGGAGGAGAAAAGTATTTCAACAACAACAACAACAACAAGATTCCATTT